GAGGCGGAATATGAAGCTCTGGCTGGAGGGCTCAGACTTGCCCAAGCCCTGAAAATCAGCCGGGTCAGTATCAAATCTGACTCTAGCCTGATAGTAGGGCAGGTGACCGGTAACATGGAAGCAAGGGAAGGACGCATGGCACAATACAAGGACCTTGTACTTGCCCTGTTGAAAGGCTTCGAAGAATTCAGGATCGCCCAAATTCCCCGGGCAGAGAACGCGGATGCAGACCTTCTCTCCAAATTGACGCAGTATGCTCCCGAGCATGTTTCGAAACTTGCCCGGGTAGAGATCCTTGACCGGTCAAGCATCGAGAAATTGGAAGTCGCCGCTATAACTGCCGGAAGCCCGTTTGACCGGTCAAACTTGGTCGGGGCGGACGACCATTGGATGAGTGATCTGATGGAATATTTGATGGATGGGAGCTTGCCGGAGCAAGATGACCGGGCAAGAAAAGTGAAGCTCGGGGCACTCCGATTCCAGATTCTTGATGGAAAGCTGTATAAAAGGGCATTTGGGGGGCCACTCCTGAGATGTCTAACCAACCGGGAAGCTGAGCGAGTCATAGCGGAAGTCCACAAAGGCGTATGCGCGGCGCATCAAATGTCCCGTACGCTTTCCCAGCGCATCATCTTGTTGGGATATTACTGGCCAACAATTGTCCAGGATTGTGAAAGGTACGTCCAGAAATGCAGGACGTGCCAAGTATTCTATAAGTATCCCGGTAGACCAGCAACCTACTATCACCCCGTATCGAATGTCATCCCATTCGCTAGGTTCGGGGTTGATATCATTGGAGCATTCCCAGTCGCCCAAGGAGGGAAGAAGTTCGTGATCATAGCCATCGATTACTTCACCAAATGGATCGAGGCCGAAGCGTTGGCCAGCATTACCACGCAACAATGCAAGAAATTCATTTGGAAGAACATCATCACAAAGTTTGGAGCGCCCATGAACCTCATCACCGACAACGGCCCACAATTCCGAAATCCAAATTTCACTGAATACTTGGAAGGCTTCGGGATCAGGCACAATCGCTCTTCGGTGGCATACCCCCAAGGAAATGGCCAAGTCGAAAACGCCAACCGAACGATTGTGGATGGTCTAAAGAAACGGCTGGGAGAAGCAGGAAACAATTGGCTGGAAGAGCTCCCACACATCGTATGGGCATTCCGAGTAACACCCAGGAGGGCTCATGGGGAGACTCCATTCTCCCTAACCTATGGGTGTGAAGCAAGGCTGCCCATCGAAGCTGAATTCCCTACGTTCCAGGAATCAAACTATCAACCCCAACAAAATGAGGAAGATCACTTGGCCGAACTCAACTTGGTCGAAGAGCGGAGAATGGCCGCGGAAGTCAAAATGAGCACATACCAACAAGTTGTGAAGAAGTACCATGATAACAAGGTCGGGCCGCGATACTTCCAAGTTGGGGATGAAGTCCTACGAAGAAGAGAAGCAAGTAGACCCGGCGACGGAGGAAAGCTAGCAAAAAACTGGGAAGGCCCATATAGGGTTAGAGCCATCATTCGCCCGGGGACATACCGGTTAGAAACTCTTGAAGGGGTATCGGTAGAAAGAACCTGGAACTCCCATCATCTTCGCAAGTTCTACAAATGATTGTAATACTAGGCAAGGCCTACTTTATTATCAATCAAACCGATGATGTTCAATACTCTATTTGGTAGCGGCAGGATTGATAGGTCGAACCTATCCTAAGAGGGCTTCCTGGGTGGATCGAATCCACTCGGCTGAGCCAACTGAGACACAGGCCCGGACCTGGCACGCTGGTTACTACACCGGTCTTGCTCAGTATAATAGAAAAAATATCAAAACCCGGAAGAGGGTATGCCTGCAAGAGGGCTGGACCTGGAAGAGGGTTCGAACCGTACTTACACGGGCCCATGAGGTTTGGCTGGTGTCGGGGAATCAGCCGGCGCCGTCAAATTGATTGGGAACTAAAAAGATGCCCATTAAAGGAAATAGAAGGGGATCGCCCACCGTGGCGCATCCTATGTCCCCCTTCTCAGGGAAGACTTGAACGGGGGGGTGAGCTAAGGCCTTCCCGGGATGGTAGAAATCAAAGGGCCATTAAAAGACTTAATCACCCGGAAGAGGGGGCCTTGGAAGAAGGGTGCATTTGAACCTTGGAGAGGGTTCGAAACCATTCGACATGGTTAAATCTCCAGTATTCTTACCGGTTAAGGATACTTCAAGAATTTCTGGGTTACAGGTGCTTCCATCTACAACCTACCGATAAAAAAAAAAAAGAATACCCCGGTCGGGTAGGGGCACATCAGAACTTCGAAAGTTCTGCATCCATCGAAAGGCAAGGCAGCTGACCGGTCAAACCATGGAGTAGGAACTCACCGGTCAAACTAAACTTTATCAAAGAGTTGGCAAAACTAACCAAAAGGCCAAAGTAAAGGTCAGCCGGTCAAACTTTTTATGATGAAGATGTTCGAAAAGCGAAAAATGAAGTTTAACCGGTCAAAGTTTCTCGGTCTGATCCTTGAAATGAAATGACCAGAGAAAACTTTGAAGTTATACCGGTCAAAGCTACTCGAGCTACCTTCAGATAAAGTGATCAGGGAGAAACTTGAAGTTCTCCCGGTCAGAAACAAATGAGAAGTGGTCTGATTGGGCTACCGGTCAGGATTCATAAGAAGCAAAAGCAGAGTATAAATCAACAAGCAGGCAGATAGGGAAGATTCACCGGTAAACAAAACAAACATGGCATTCGAATTTAAAAATGTCAAATGTTTACAAGTACGCCGCGCATACCCGGGGGAATCTCTACCAAAAGTTTTACAAAGAGTAACCGGGCACAGCCGGGGAGATCAGTCAATGGGGAAGGGGGGAGTCGGCTCTTCTTCCGGGATAGAGGCCAAGCCGTATGATGCAGCGGCGAAGTCCGGATCTTTTCTGAGCAGTACCCGGTGAGAGGCGATCCTGTCCTTCTTTTGACCGCTCTTGAATCTGAAGGATCCAATCGCGGTAATCATCTTCCTTCCTTCAGGCTCCCGGTAAAGAAGCCTGAAGGACTCCATCGTGGTCTCGGGAGTCGCCGTCATCACCCGGGCAGCTTCAGCTTTGTTCTCTTCCACCCAGGCAGCTGCGCGCCCGGGGAAGGTTTCTTCCTTCTCCGCCATCTCCCTCTTGGCTTCAAACACCTCGTCCATCAGCCGGCCATTCTCTTCCTTAAGGTGAGAGATCTCCGCCCTCATCGACCCGGTCAGCCCGGATAGCCTGGCCAACTCATCAGCTTGGCTCTTTAGGATGAGAGCCATCTCCTCCTTCTCTTTCCTCAGCCGGGCAAACTCCGAAGAAGAGCCCAAACCAAGCCGGTCAGCTGAGAGGGGTCCGATCTCCCCCGCCTGCGCGAAAGGAAAGATAGCCCGGTAAGATTCTCGTCAAGGGAAAAAGAAGATCAAAAGACCGGGGTAGCAACAGGACTTACCTCCTTCAACCTCAGGCCCAGGTTGATGAAGGCCTCTTCAATAGACTGGCCGGCCGGCTCTGAGTCCCCTCTTTGCCTCTTCTTGGCGAAGGATGGGTGTGTGGTGGCCACCTTTTTTATCCGCCGGCCGGTTTTCTCCTTGCCCTTCCCTTTTGACCGGTCATCCTTCGGCTCGTCCAAATCGTGGATTTCCACGGTCTCTGGTTGGACCTTGAAGGTTTTCGCAGTACCGGCCTGAGAACCACCGGTCTCTCCCTCGGGCTGATCTTCGGGCATGGCGAATTCTTCGAACTCCATGTCTGCGAAAGTGGGCAAAACCATTAAGTACAAGCAATAGTTTGCCCGGTCAAACTACGAAACACAAGAAAAAGGATAAGTACCTGGGTGGGAGTTGCCCTCAGCCTCCGCAGTGTTGCCCGGGGAGGGTACCCCGCGCCCCGCTGCGTCATGGGCCGGGGAGGTACCCTCACCACCCGATTTGACCCTCCAAACCCAGCTGCCATAATGGAAAGTCCTCCCGGTGAAAGGATCCCCACGCATGAGGACCTCAAGATTCGCTTCCAAGTCTGGGGAGGAAGCCGGTGCAGTGTACTCTTGGTCGAGCAGATGGTCGTTCCATCTCAGACCGGCCAGAGGAGTGAAGAAGGGGGGAAACTCGATGAAAACAAATTTTTCCTTCCATCCCCGGTTACTCTGGGGGACTTCGGAAATGAACTTCCTACCGGTACGGGCTTTGAAGAATACAAAGCCTTCGCAGCCGGATCCGCCCGGTAGGACTTCGAAGCAAAAAAGGAAAAGACGCAAAGAGGGGAAGATTTTCAGATGGGTACAAATATTTACGAAGGAATGAAGGTACCGGTGGGCGTTAGGAGTTATTTGGCCGGGCAAAATCCTAAACGCATGGCAGACTTCAATGAGGAGGGAGCGAGGGGGAAAGAATATGCCCGCGTCCAGAGAAATGGTATGAAACCCTATCCTATCCTCCCGGTGGGGTTCAACGATATTGGGCCAGTTAGGTTCGTAGAGGAGGGTATACCCATCCGGGAGCCTCCTACGGATTTTGTTTAAGGCAATTTTGGATACACGGGAAGGTATGTCAAGGACGTAGAAGGTGGGGAGTGGAAAGTAACCGGCGGCATGGAGCCGCGCCTCCCATGCATCCCGGGTTTCATGTTCGGGATCATAGGGACCCGGTTCGTCATCAACCGGGTCATCCCTCCCCACGAAGGTTTCACCGGGCATCTGATTAACGGGATGCGGGTCAGGAATGGAGGACTGGGGAACCTGACCGGGCGAAGAGTTCAAAGAAGAAGACCCGGTCGAGGAAGAGGAGTTGGAATTCTCAGAGGAGCAGTCCTCTGAGAAAGAGACCCTATCGCTAAGAGGAGACATGACCGGGAAAAGTATAGAAGGAAAGGGGAACTTACTTGACTCGGAGGGCTGGATAGCGAAGAGAAGGAACTTGACCGGTGAAAGCTCTGAGACTTGATCGCGGAAAGTGAGCAAAGAAGAGGGGTGGAGGCCTTTATATAGGAGGAGAGGAGGCCAAAGGGAGCGACGTGGCCACGCAAGAACATGCCACGTCAGGCAGCGCAATGATGGCGCATGGGGAAGGCGATGGGACGCGACTGCAGCGATGGCCAACGTCCAACACGTGTCAAAACCAACAGTTGGAGTTTTGAATTTGAAATATTCGAGCGGGAAAAATTAGAAATTTGAATTTAAGAGTCCTGTTTCAGACTTTTTACTTCCCGCTCATGACAAATTGCATGAACGAGAAGTGGAGGGCTTATTGATGGGTGTATTTCACCCAAGACCGGTCAAAGGAGAAGGCCAAATTTTTGACCGGTCAATCTCGAAAGTTTTGGAAGGGAGACTTTAATCGTCAGCAAAACGATGTATCATCGGCCAAAATTTGACCGGTACACTTCACAAAAAGTATACCGGCCAAACTACGTTGTCATCCCATTTGTTCCAGACTTCGATAAATTCATCCCTCGGAGATTACCCGGTGTAGTTTCTGGGGTTGGAAAGTGTCGGCAGGAGAGGATCTGCGAGGATTTGGCGTGCAGCGACCCGTGTCAGTAGAGGACAACTGGAGATGCTGAAGAATCCATCCAAGGCACTACTTGACAAAGGGAATGATCCCCTTCACAAGGCGACAAGGCAGCTTGAGGACGAAACCAGTCACCTCGCACCACATCGGCAGCATGCCCCCACGTGGGCGCACGTGGTCCTGTCCCCTTGACCTAGTATAAATATTCATGTAAACCTCAGAAAGAGGGATCCGAATTCATTCTCTCTAAACTCCCGTGTAAAAGCACCCGTGCATTCTCCGTTATAATATAAATTGAGTTACAGGTGTTCCACCTAAAATCCTACCGGTCAATCTACGAGTTTTTACCTTTCTTACTTTGCCAAATCAAGCGAACTATTCTAGACCCGGTCTAGTATAGTTTGACCGGTCAAATAATTTACACCATCAATTTTCAAAACAAAATTTAGTCTTTTTATTAACCATCTATAAAAATAAATAGAGTAATAGTGTCACTTCTATAAAAAAAAATTACTGTAGTTTTTTAATAAAGAGTAAAAAAATTATTAATTTATTTTACATGAATATTTAACTGAGTATTTCATTTTCAAATTGAAAGATAAACTCTTGCATTGCAAATGTATTTGGATATAGAAATGGCACTCATTTCCCCTTCATTACTAATTAAATCATACTCTAAATTTTATTCTTTAAATAAATTTATTTCAAATTCCAAAACTCATCATTTCTCTAAAATTTCAAAAATCTTCAAACGAAAACCTAAAAGTTAATGTTTCAAGATGAGTTCTTAAAACATTTGATTTCTTGTATATGGTGCAATCCGTTTACTCACTCTAATCATCGATTACTTCGTAAGATTTGAGTTCTTAAAAGATTTGGTTTCTTAGTCATTTTTCTATAATTACTAATCGATTACTTCGTATTGTAAGAAAATTAATAGACAGAGTAACAGAGAATAGAAATACTGAATTAAAATACTTTTAGGCAAAAACTTGGATAATCATCTTCATTAAAACAAATACACCTGAAGCGAACCAGGTGAGCTGCTCGATCTATTCCCAGATGCTAGTAACAAAAGCATAAAACTATGAAAGATCAGCGGCCTTAAACCACATCGCACGGCAGATTTACATCAAAACAAATTAAATAGAGATCTTGAATTCTATGCCTTCTTCGGAGACTTGGGTGATTTCTGGGAAGCTTTTTCCTCCGACGCCGCTCCTGTCTTCTTGGGAAGAAGAACCGGGTTGATGTTGGGGAGGACTCCACCGCTGGCGATTGTGACTCCCTGCAGCAGCTTCCCCAGTTCCTCGTCGTTCCTGATCGCCAACAGCACGTGCCTGGGGATGATCCGAGTCTTCTTGTTGTCGCGAGCCGCATTTCCCGCCAATTCCAAAACCTTATTTCACAACAACCGATCAGAATAGGCTTTTTTTTGAACCGAAAGGAAAGCGCTTACCAATCCAGATCTCGGAGACTATGGAGATTCCGGCAGATGAAACCTCGATTTTACGTACCTCGGCGGCAAGGTATTCGAGGACGGCGGCGAGGTAAACAGGAGCGCCGGTTCCACATCGCTGTGCGTAGCGGCCCTTCTTCAGGAAACGAGCAATTCGGCCGACGGGAAACTGAAGGCCGGCTTTGATGGACTTCGTGACGGCCTTTTTTCTCTCGCCGGCGCCTTTCCTTCCTCCGGCACCCTTGGACGACGTCTTCGTGGAAGCCTCCATTGATCGAACTTTTGCAGAAGGTTTTCTAGGGTTGAAGATTTTTCTCTGAGAAAGGATGATCGGAGTACAAGCTTTAGTATGCAGCGGAGAAGAATGGTGCTGTGGTATTTATAGTTAGGGGGAGAGGATTGCCACGCTGGAGATCCTCGTCGGGGGGGATTGGTTGGACGGCGGATATTGGATCTTAGTCGCGGGTTTGCGGGTTCAATCAACGGACAGGAAATGACACGCTGGCGATCCGCGACTCCAATTAAATTAGGCTTTTGAGTTTTGACATCCGGTTGCGAGTGAGCGGGAAATTTTAGGACGAAATTTTACTTGCGAGCGGAGGAATTTTAGGAACGAAATTCACTTGCGAGCGGGAAATATTTTTTATTTGCACCCCGAGCTGCACCCTATACCGAGTAAAACAAATCACAATCAAAATCATTCCTTAAAAAACACACTTCTAAATTTCTTGTTTTATAAATAATGATAAGATTGTTTTTGGATCTCTCTAAAATAAATGACTTTTGTTTTTGGTTATTGTAAAATATTATTACTAGTATTTTGATCCGTGCCACACACGGGATCGAATAAAAATTTTTGTCAATTCTAAAAAATTTCTTAATGTAATATTTTTCTGCAATAAAGAAAATATACTTCTCGCATGATTTTTAAAGATACAAAAAATAAAGTGGAATAAATAATATTTGAAGAATTGAATGTGTACAAAACAAAAAAAATTAATTCTAAATTTTCAAAAAGACTTCAGTGTATGTAACATTTTTAGTATGGTTGCAAGGATTTCCATTTTCTTATAAGACTAATTTTTTTAATCATGTCTTTGTCTTCACTCGCGAAACAGCAACATAAAGATGACCATGAGCGAACATCGACTTGGTTAAAAATAATCCAACAAATGATAATATTTGACCTTAACTATTGTTGATAGTCATATATAGCAAAACATAAGGCTATTGGAAATTGTCTTCTCTCAAAATTCAAAGATAGCTTGTATGAGATGGTACCAATTCATCAAGGATTTGTAAACTTTTTCCCCCACTCAATTTCTCAAAACCACAATAACACTGATAACGTTCTTTCGCAGCTTGTCAATAATTAATCTTGTACGGTTATACAATCCAGATGTTTGGTCATTGTTTCTTAATAATATAATTGGTACCCTCATTTTTTAAACTACTTGTGATTTGGAATCCCTAGTCATTTAATTTCTTTCAAAAACTCAACTGTTATCCAATCGTCATTAACACCTACATTTGGATCTGCCTGACATGAAGAATCAAAACTCAAGCACATCATTTCATCTTCGGGAAATGAGTGATATGACAAATTCATTTACCATTTCCACAACTTCAAGCGTGAGTGCCAATAGTGGCTTGTTCTCGAAATAACAATAACTTTTCGTATTTTCCAATAGGTTTGGATAAGTGAAGTTCACTATATTCTTTAGGGGAACTCATGTTTAGAATCAAGACGTCAATTGTTCCATCAATCACTTGCCCAAACTTTCCATCTCCAATTTTTATTATCCAATAAAAAAGCTTGTGTATCTCTATTTGCGCAAGAGGATGTAGATGAATGCAATATCATATTCTTCGTCAACGTATAAAGTTTACAATGCGACCATAATTTTGAAAAAAATGATGGTAGCACTTACAATTTCCTCTCTAGAAGTTCTAGGTAAAACGTGAAGAATTTGTTGAAAATTTCCTCCGAGTACAACCGTTTTCCATCTGAATGATTCATTTATGGAGTTTTTATTAGATAACATCATTACATATCTCATTGTACAATCCAATGCCTCAAAAGCAATCTATTCATTATACACGGTTCATCTCATACAATTAGACTTGCTTGTTGGATTTATTTTGCTTTCAGGCTCCCTTGTTTGATGGAACATTCTGAGCACTCAATTAGCTCAAGAGGAATTGAGAATTTTGAGTGTGTTGTCCTTCCCCAAGGTAAAAGCATGCTGCAATCACACTGATGCGATGTTTAAGACAACCTTACCATTTGACCTCAGAGAAGCAGACAGTGATTTCCAAGGAAACGTTTTTCCAGTTTCACCGAAACCATACACAAAAGAATCAGGTAGTATTTGAGTACATTGTTTATAATATCATTTACGCATAATTAGTTAATACACAAATATATTTGTCGTATGATTACCTTCATAGAACGTAATAACACATGTTATTGAAGATAAATAAGTTCTCCTCTATCTCTTATGCACTTGAAAGCATGATGAAGTGGATGTATAATTATTCATAGATTGATGCACTGTATAGACAGTTTTTTTAGGAAAAATGTAATGGAAATGTTAAATTTTAAATTCGAAATAAAAAAATTACCATTTGTCACATCACAAAGTACATTCTTTCTTAAATGAGTTAAATTATGTGAGGTTATAGCCGATAATGATGTCTCTCCATCTGTATATGTAATTTCTATCATAAACAAAATAGTGTACTAATATATATTTTATGGAGAAGTACAACTTTTATTCGAACTTTGTTTACGCATGTTATAAATTTATTCATTAATTTTTATAATAATAATAATAATAACAATTAAAATAACAATAATAATACAAATAATAATAGTAATACTAATTATAAGATTATTATTATTAATATTTATATAAACTAATATCTAAAGCATTAGTTACCAATTTTGTAAAAATAAAAAAAAATATATAAAAAAAGGAACTTTTAATGCTATATTTATATATAATAGAACATTAATTATTTTTCGTATACAATAAAAAACATTCTAATTCTAATAAAAATTGTGCTTCATTTTAAAATTAGTATTTTCCATTTTAAAATTATTAGTTTCCATTAATAGCTTTGAAAAAATTGCCTCATTTGGGTCACAAAACTTAATATTTTATAACTATGGGGTTATGTATAATATATTTTTCTTATTTAACACAATTATAGTTCAATCATCTATTGTTTTTAAATTTTTTAATTTAATTTCTAAGAAAATATACTTTAGATTAGTTTTAAAATTAATTAAAAATGTAATTATAAATGAAGAGAGTAAAAAATATTAAATTGGGAAAGAATACTATTATAAAAAATGAATTTTTCTATTTCATAATCAAATTTATTCAAAGATTTCATACCATAAGAATAATTTAATATTTTACACGTCCTAAATTAGGTGGAATATTAGGTGTCAAAGCACATGCAATTTTTTTTTATAGGTGATGAAATATTTTATTCATTAGGAATATTAACGAACTATTTTCATTTATTTAGATGTATCATAAAGAAATATAAAATTTATTTATAGGTGAAGAGAGTATAATTTTTCTTATTAATATGTTTTGTAATAAATAAAGAGAAAAAAGTATAGAATTATCACAACATATTATCATAAAAAGAAACTTTTTTTTTATTTTAAAGTTTACTCAAATATTTCTTATCCTACTTTTAATTTCGTATGAAAAATTAGTTTTTAAAGACCCAACTCCCTTTTTTTATATACTAGTACAAGTATTTTGACCCGTGCCATGCACGGGATCGAAAGAAATTTATGTCGATTCGGAATTTATTTTAATGAAAATTTTATTTTTCAGAATAAAGTAAATATATTGCTCACATGATCTTTAATACAACAAATGAAAAAAGTCAAAGTAAAATAAATAATATTTGAGGAACAGAATGTAGAGTTAACAATGTTTATTTTAATACCAAATTTTCTGAAAGGTTTCAGGGTATACAACATTTTTGGTATGATTGCAAGAGTTTCTATTGTCATCTAGAACTAATATTTTTAATCCGGTCTTTGTCTTCACTTGTGAAACAACAAAATATAGTTGACCATGTGTGAACACTGACTTTGTTAAAAATAATCCCACAAATGACAATGTTTGACATTGACTTTTGTTCATTGTTATAGCAAAACATGAGGTGATCGAGAATTATCTTCTTTGGAACTTCAAGGGTAGCCCTAGATCAGATGATACCAAATTCATTCTAGCGATGTAAACTTTTTCTCCAACTCGATTTCCCGAAACCACAATTGCACCGATAACATTATTTCGGAGCTCTTGAACGAATAATTTTGTCCCATTATACAATCCAGATGTTTGGTCAATGTTCCTCAATAGCATAATCGGCACCCCTTTTTTCAAGACTATTTTGTGGTTTGGGATTCCCAAACATTTGATTTCGTCAAAAACTCAACTGTTATCCAATCGTCATCAACACCTACATCTGCTTCTGCTTGGCACGAAGAATCAGAACTCAAGTACTCCTTTTCATCACTAGGAATGAGGGACAAAATAAATTCATTTATCATTTCAACTACTTCGAGAGTTGGTGCCAATAGTGCTTTATCCTCATAAAAGAATAATTTTTCATATTTTCAAACATAAGTAATTTCCCAATATAAGACCTAAACTTTTTCAAATTTTTCATTTTTCATTTTTCATTTTTCAAATTTTCCATTTTTCATATTTCAAACTTTTTCCCAATATAATTTTTCAATTTTTTTATTTTTCATATCTGCACTAAATAACACTAAAACAAAAGTCATTTCCCAAAATAAGACTTAAACTTTTTATCCCTTAAATAACACTTAATAATGTCTAGAAGGAGAAATAATATCCTGTGACGGTGAACATTTGTCTAAATAATGACTAATGGATAATGACTAAAAGTGCTACATTGGAAAATAAAAAACATATGTTGCTATTTAGGGAAAGTCATTATGTTTTAGTGTTATTTAGGTAAATTCCTCTGACTATGAATATATATATCGAGTATCAATTATTTCAGTTGAACACAGCTTAGTTGCCATTTTGATAAATGAATTACGTGTTAGATATAAGTAAATTTTCCAATTTAAAAATTATATTTGAACTTTGAATTATTTACATTGATCATTCCGTATCAATGCCTATTTTTTTTCCTCGCATGCATGTCATTTTGTTTTAAAATATGTACTCACATTTTTTTATATTCACTAATTTCATATCAAATTTATTGCAAAGTTTTGAATTTTATTTAAAAGATTTTAAATACGAATATGTTTTTACTCAACTTTGTTAATATTCGTCCATTCAATTGTTTAAAATATTCAATATTTATAAATATTTTTTTTCATAAAAAATATAGAAAAATGAAATTAAAGAGTCATGATTAGATATCATTTTATTCCTATTGATGTAAATATAAAATTGATAAAAAATAATCATTGAGCTATATGCATACCTAGATAAATCAACAACTATACATTTTAATTATCCATGATTTCTATGCAACCTTTGAACGACGTTTAATTTTTTTACGGATGCATATTATAATTAATAAAATAACATAACTATAAAATAACATGACTAAACATATACTTTTATCTTTTCTTGGAGTGTTCATTTTCACATGGAGAATTTGTTAAATCCTTCTAAAATTGACATCTAATATTAAATTTTGTATAAAACTTTTTTTATTTAACATAAATTAATTTATCTATACTAACGATTTATATATGAAGATAAGAAAATTTTTCAATGCTCATAAAAAAGCAACCATATAAATTTTAAATACAAAAATTCTGGTCACTAACATATGCCATTTCATTTTGTTATTTTAAATAATTCAAAAATGTTATGCATCAAATTACCTTAAAACAATAAAACATAATTAAATGTATTAAGATAAAACAATATTTAAAGTCCGTACCTTTTCTATCTTTTTTGTTGAAGTATTCATTTTCTCATTTCTCTTGCATCTCTAGCTGATCTCGTCCATGTATCGTCAACTTGATTTTCCATAGCCCCAATTGAAATTGAAAAATAGGATATATGCTCCTACCACCCATCCTTTTAAAAA